TCACTCCGAGCCGCTACAGCAGTTAAGTTGTCTCGGCTCAAGGAGGAGGCCTGGGGGATATCACGGGCAGCAGTCGCCAAAGAAGCCATGGTTTTCTTTCTCTTTTGCTTTTGTGTACCGGAGTTGCAAGGTGCTTTTGATAAGCGAGAGTCTGCGGCAAGGGAGGCGGAACGCGGTCAGTATATGTACTCGTTCAGGCTTCTTTGTTTTCGTTCTCCTCGTGTCCCCTCTTCCTTGTCAGGTAGCGAGCGGCGCAAGCAATATAAGACGAAAACAGAAAAGAAGCAGAAAGAAGAAGAAGAAGAAGACCAGGGCAAGCCAGATGCAGCCGCACAAGAGGCGGTGATGATCGGACAGCGGTAATGCACGTTTTGCTGGCAAAGGGGGTTGAGTCACTGCCAGGGGGTCGTGCTGTGCTGCGGAGTCTGTATGTACGTACCAAAAGGAGCAATACCAGTTGACAGCGGCAGTGGCAGCAGTGGCAGTGGCAGTGGCAATACTGTAATAGCAGTGACAGACAGACAGACAGACGGCGGTCCTGCTGCGTGCCCTTGTTGCGACTGGAACTGGCGAGAGAGAGAGAGAAAGAAGACGGGCTTCTGGTGGCGGGAGGCTGGCGCGACAGTCGAGACTGTGACAGATGAATCCCGGAGCGAGATGGTTTGCACGGATTTGCGGTGTTGCGAAGGCGTTGCGGGAGGGAAGAGGGAAGAAGGGCGGCCGAGGCGAAAAGGGTGCGACTTGATGCGATTATGAATGGCCGCCTGCGCCTGTCTTGCAATTGTCTGCGTGTGTGTGCGCGAAGGAGGGACGATGTACCGGCCGGTGCAGCACAGGCAGCTGAGGTACAACTACTCCGAGTGACTGAACCTGAACTGCCATGGCGACTGCAGGCACGAGATGCAGCAGCAGCAGAGGCGCGACTTGATTGTGATGAGTCCAGCGCTACTACAGCCACGCCCCCCTGCGACCGCGTGCAGCCGGCCGCTAGAGCCCAAGCCGGGCGCCCCTAGGGGGAGACAAACCGGGCTGGGGGTCCGCTGTGCGCTGGTGCTGGCGCTGGGACGTAGCGGGAGGGGCGTGGCTGCAGGACAGCCCGCCTAACCGGAACAGGAGCCCGCCTGAGATACAGCGCGTCTCGGGCCCTGTGGCTGCGTTCAGTTGAGCTGGAGGGCTTCCGTCCATTCGTTCGCAGGTACCCGGCCGTCACGCCTTTGTACCCTCCAAGAACGCCAATTCCGTTCCCATGACTTCCATGGCCAGACACTCACATTATTGGCATGTTTCTTGGTGCTGGGCGACAGGCTTGGGGAGGGATCAATCAATCGACTGACAAGACTGAAGCCCGGATGCCCGGTTGACGCAAGCATGATGGAAACCAAACAAGATGCAATCTACCACAGAACGCTCATTCAAGCGACCTGTGTGGAAGGTCACCTTCGTATGAGTAAGGTACATGTACCTACTCCATGGACCTCTTGCATGGGGACCAGCCCCGGCCTCTACGTGCTGATACGCTTCCGCGGCATGGCGCCCCGGAGCCCAATGCGACCACCTGCTAAGGCAAGGCGATGGATTCATTCATTTGTTGGCGTCGGTTTCGCAAAAGGGGAGGAGGAGCTGGACTCCGTGGCCAACAAGCGAAGAGGAGGAGGAAACAAAGGAACTTTGGTCCTGCCTTTGTTTGGCTGCGCGAGGGCAACTTGTTCGTATCAGCGATGAAGCCCAACTGGTGTAGAAGTTGATACTGTGTTGTGTCACTGGCCCGAGGTAGTAGAGAGTCGTGATCCATGTCTTTCTGCATGTTATCAAACGGTCGACTTACAACGATAGTAGTAAACGGCCTTGTTCAGTTGGTTGGTTGGGTAGGCATATTGTCAGTAGTCTTCATTTGATAGAAGCAGCCGCCCTCGTATCAACTCAGCGAAACCGGAGTAGCAGTATGATGACCACCCCGGGCTGATAAAAAGTACTTGAATGCCCGCTGACTTACACGAACCTCCGACTCTGCAAATGTGCCCTGTTGAGCTGACTGTGTGTGTGTTAATACGGGCAGCCCCGAAAGCAACAGAAGAGGTACCTGACCATACACGTATGCCTGTCTCTCCTGCATCGCTAAAGCGTCGGCATGGGGCTCCTCGCCGGAGTTCATGTAAACGTCGGTATGTATTTCTTACATGCGATGCGTCGCGATGCGATTCATCACCACACGCCATCCCGAGCTCGACTAACGTAAGTCTGTGTGCCTGTGGGCAGCGACCAAGGTAACGACATCATACTACCCAGTAATTTGAAACAACGCACAAAAATAATATCGCAAGATTCCTGTTTCTAAACCCTCCAAAGCGGTCACTGCTCTGCCAAACAAGCATGGCCCTCCTTGGGTCAAGCTGCGGGGATTCTGCGTGCTTCGTCGGAGCTTTTCGGGGCCAACGGGCTCGACAACGTGCAAAAAGCAGAGGCCGCTTCGTCGACGGCTTCCATGGACCCTCCCCGTTCCCTTGGCCCCAGAGTCCGGGGAACCTGCTAGCGCGCACATTCATCGCAGGCTGGCTCTTATTCGACGGCAAACCGACAAGAAGTCGCGGTCCTCGTACAAGCACCGGCTTCCGACAACGCGAGCGGCCCTTTATATGGAGTACATGTACTGATAGTATATGCCTCGGAAAGGGGTGAAGGCGCCGGTTTTTGGCTCGGCATCTGGCCTAGGTCAAACGGAGGCCACAAACGAAGGTGTGAGAAGGGAGACGATCTCCACGAGACATGGCAAAGCGGTCCTGTACTTGTATGGGTACGACTCAGCATCAACGAGTAATGCCTTCAACGTCGCGGGTAGCTCTGCCTAAAACTTCCGACTCTTACACTTCCCAGTAGTAATACCAACACTACTAACGCATCACGAGTCGTAGCAATCTCTAAGAGATTACCCCGCCGCATGCTGTGGACAGTGTTGTTGCTTGCCTGCTGCTCAACTCTTTGCAGACTGTATTCGAGGAAGGTGGTTGATAATAGCAACAGGCCCTCATGGCAAATACCACCTCGCATGTCAGCAACCAACGTCATTACAGCTGGGGCTTGCCATGGCATCTGACACTTTCGTCTCGTGCACAGGTCAAAATTCCACCAAGCCCTGATACTAGGGCTTCTGTTCGCGGGGCGCCGTGCGTAGGCGAGGAGAGGCCTTGCGCCAATTTCCATCGCGATAAGCCATCAAATACCCCATGCGCGGGAAGTCGACGTTTGTGCGCCGCCTTGGTATCGCTGCGGCATCGCGGCCAACAAGGCCCCGTACAGAGTGGGGTGTGCCGTTAGCTATCCGGCTAGGACAACGAGACGGTCTGTTCGGGCTGTGATGAATAAACCGTCCAGTACGGAGCACATGGAGGTCGAGTCCACTTGCATCTGTCACCACGCTCAAGGGCATGGAGAGCCGTGGGCAGACCCGATAGCCCGACTGGGCAACACAGAGCGCCGAAACACCTAGCTTTCCCCGCTGGCTCTGGCTTGGAGGACCGCCGTCTGGGTCCCCCATCTGGGTCTTAGCCCTTTGGCGTAGACCAAGCCGGTGATTTGCAAACACGCTACTGCTTCGTATGTGAAGCGCTGAGGGAGAGCATCCGACGTCAAGACGCGCATCCGCGGGTGGTTTGGACGGCCTCGTCACTGGCTGCCGCCAAAGGAGTGTAACGGCGCATTGAAGAATCAAGCGTTGGCTATCAGCTAATCGGGGCTGCTCGACGGCGCAGCTGGTCGAAGTGATGAACGCCTGTGGGAGGGCAATCAGGCGATCCCGATCTCGACACTATCCGCAAAGGAGCAGCTTTTTGACAAAGGGTTCGTCCTCGTCGTCCTTATGCACGGCATTCTGCCCGAGTGACCGGCCCAAGCGGGAGCGAAAGCCATCGACTTCCGTCTCTGCGCATGTACATGGCCGTACCTCCTACCCCCAAAGTGCGCACACGGGTTCCCCTGGCATGAATATGCAAGCTGCCAACGGGATATATCTTGCAGCACGTAGCCACAACGACCGGACGAGAGAAAACACCCGTGGCCGAACACTTGCGGCGTTGAGCGGCTACTTACTGTGTACTTGCATCTCATCAGAACGGTTCATGGGCTTCGCATAAAATTGATACTGTGTGATTCCTCCAGCAACGGCTGTTGGTGCCCTCTCTTCTTCAGCGTCCCCTCAAAGGACAGCCAAAGGCTGTGCAACCGTCACGTTGTTTGAAAGATAAGCTGATTGGTAACCGTCCACTTCGCGCCTCCATGTGACCCTCCATTTCTCGATCCTGGGTGTGCGTTAAATACTCGTAGGTAGAGCGTGTAAGTGATCTTTTAGGCTGGCGAGGCGTGTGTGCTGCGTGTGTCAGCCACGCCAAAGACGGACCCGATTCTCGAAAACGGTTCAATTTAGCGACGAGAGGAAATTTGGTCGACTCTTGCTCATCCCACTTTTCCGTTTTTCGATCCAGGTAATATTGAATTTTGCATTTCAGCATGAGCAAGTGGCTTCGGATGGTGGTTTGAGGGCTGCAGCCCCGTTTCCAGACGACCGCGGGAGCTTCTTCTGTGGAGTTTCGTCTCTATTGCTTTCTTTAGTGACGTATGGATGATCAGGTACCTTGATAGTGCCTCCTTTTGGTGATCGACAGCGACGCTATGTTTCCTGCACGCCCCCTTAAACGGGTCTCATCAATTAGTATAGTATCGTATCTTGGAAGCTTAGAGCTGTTATTTATAGCCTAGTATCGAGCAGTTGGATGAGCGCTCGTGTTGAATCAAGGAAGTGAAATTGGAATATTCGTTTTTGTGTGGTGACGGCGGCAGAGGGTATGGTTTGGCTACCCCTAATCAATAGAGCTCGAGATTCCGGTGCGCATCGTCGGTTATGAGATCAAGACCGATGCGCCGGCGGAACGCAGCTGAGAATGAGCAGGCACGCTTCATGATAGTAGTATGAATAAAGCACGCAGAGAAATGACACGCTTTGGATCGGGTTATGATCTCGGCCCCTGGCCGAAGATAAACTCTCGGCAGGCCTAGATGAACACAACATGTTATCAAAGGATCCTCTTTGGATGTGGTCGAGAATAGCACTCACCTGCTTAAGGACTCCTACTTGTTCTTGGCACTGCAAAAACACCTGCTTGTACTGCCCAATGCTTCGGTCGAGCACCTCCCGGCGTGTTGTGCTGCCTTGGCAGATGGCCTTCATCTGAAGCTCCATTTCTTTGCGCAAAAACGGCTTTCCAAGGCTCGTTTCGAAACTCATCCGGTCGAAGCCCAGGATAAGGGCAACGCCAAGTTGAGTGGGAACGAACACCTTCACGCCGCCGCCCCTACCCCCTCTTGTTGAGCCGCCGCCTCCCCGACCTCGGCCACCTCTTCCACGTCCACGGCCGCCTCGGGCAGCCGGTGCATCATCTTGCTCTTCATCGTCACCATCTGCGGCTGTCGTGCCTCCTCTTGTTGTAGTTGCCACGTATTCTCGGTCTTGTATCTTTTGGATGTGCTCAGCCATGGTGGCATCCGTTCCAATGCCGTTGGCATCCATGAGCGCAATCAGATCGGCTTCTGTGAGATAGTTTGGCGGCGATGTTTTACCTTCGGTCATCATGGCCTCGGTAGGCTCAAACTGCTCACCGACGGTGAATCGCGGCAGCTCCGTAGTGTTGGTCCAGTTTTCGTAGATATAGACGTCCAAGTAGTTCCTTTCGAGCACAATGACTCCTCGGGTACTGAAATGTTCATCTCCAAATTGGACGTCGATATCCGTCGCCATTCCTTGAGCGTCTTCCGAGCAGCATGCCAGAAATCGGCGCACCACATACTCATATAGCCGCCCCTCGTCATAGGTCAACGCGCTTGGTGCTACATGCGCAATGGGATGGATCGGAGGGTGAGCTTTATCGTCGTGTTTTCCCTCCCTCGGCTGTCGAAAGCCGCCGTTGACGAGTCCTTGGGCATACGTGCCCCAGCGCTGGTCCGTCGCCTGCTTCTGGACCAGTGCCCTCAGATTCATGCCTTTATCAAAGCGGTCGGTTTCTGTCCTCGGATAGCTGATGAATCCTTTGTTGTAGAGGCCTTCGGCTATCGTCATGGCCTGCTGACCGGACATCCGCAGCAAGCGAGTTGCTGCTTTCTGGAGCTCGACGGTGGTGAGAGGCAGTGGCTTGAATTTTCGGGTCGGCTTTTCTTGCACCTTTGTGATCTTTGCTTTTTTGGCGGCAAGGCATCTCTCATATAGGAGCACGACTGTCATCCGGTCAAAGAGGCGATTCCGAGCCCAGGAAAATCGAACCTGTTTGCCATCTTTGTTGTGCATCAAGGATATGCCCCAAAACGGCTCGGGGACGAAGTTTTTGACACGAAAGTATCGATCCACAACGAAGCCGAGCGTTGGAAACTGGCAAGACCCTGTATCTTCTGCTCAGTAATGGATCCAGGGGGTTGGGCGCCGTTAGGGGCAATAATCCTTTACCGTAACTCAATACCAAATCTGCCAAAGGTCCACCAAGTTGCTTGAGATTGTTCGTTATGAAGCGCGTAAATGCGTATCCGATACGTAGATCCAGTTCGATTCTTGCTGCAACAGCGTTGACCTGCTTCTCGTCCAGCTCAACGAGGCGTCTGGCAGCGGACAACACATGCCTGGGAACAAGTTGTCAGCTTAGGGGAGATAGAGAGGAGTGAAGTGCAGAATTCGTACGCTCGTTCGACGTTGCTAAATCTGGCACGCTTCACTTGGATCGTTGCGTTGCCCTTCTTTGCTGCGTCGACAATCTCTTGGCCAATGTGCTCTCCTTCTCGATCACAATCGGTCCATATCACCAGCAGACGCGCATATTTAGCTTGATCTGCTATGTTCTTGGCAATATCCTTTTTGTCCTGCTCACAGGTCAATGATGGCGTCTCCTCAAAGCAGATCTATAACACCCACATCATGGACATTGGTAACTATCGGCGCCGAGAAGAGAGACTCTGGTGGAGGATGACTCCAGTTCTTGTACTCGCTGGTAAACTCGACATTGGTTAAATGGCCTGTAACGGCAGTCATGGTAACGGATGAGGACCCCCATTGCTGGCCAAAGTCAAAGTCAAAGGAGTAATTCTTGATGTATTTGTTGCGAGTGTTGTGCTGGTGAGTTGGCTTCACGTCAGTAATCCCATGTTGCTGCAAGGGCGCCATCGGGTTGCTTTTCCCCAGAGGCTACGCGTACGCACTGTTGTGAAAGAACCTCCGGACAGATGGCCAGCCACCGCCTTGGAGATGGATGGCTTTTCAGCCACGCATAGGACCCTCATGTCTCGAGGTCGGAGGGCGAGTAACCGGAGCTGCGTGAATCTCATGGAGCTCTGGATCCGCGATGCTTGCGGCTCGATTTCATCGGAGGAAAGCGGTTGCACATCGGCCTCCACCTGCAGTCTTTGGGTCACCTGCCAGTGATGGTTTGCTTAGCTGCCATTCTGCGGGAGATGCTGCCGAAGCCGTTGAAACGGACGAGTTTGTTCGTCGATACCTTGGAAGAAGAAAGTTGAGAGTATCAGATTGGATGGAGCATCTGAAGCCATTGGACGGAAGATTTTACTGGAGCATGAGCACAGGCCCCACCAGAGCTCTCGGTACATCGGATCCTCCATCCGATCAATCCACCAGCTTGAGAGGATCCCCGCCTGAAGCTTCAGCGCTGTGACGCGCTCATCAGCGGGAGGCTCCAGGCTGTGGCACCCACAGCCAGCCGCTAGCCCAGCGCCTCGATCAGCGGGACGGCAGATGCTGGAGGACATCGCTGGGCCAGCATCTGGATCAGCCAAGAACCAACACCAGCCGCACCGTCCACCGCATTTATTGGTCCGCCGCCACCTCGAATCCAGCCTCTGCTCCGTCATATTGATCGAACCCTGTCTTGACTGCTTTGACTGAGACTTTGGCGGTGCTCCATCCACAGCGCCATGGCCGCCCTCGAGTACATAAAGTCCATGGCGGGCGTCGAGCGCTTGCCTTCCCTCGACTCGCTCGTCTCAACCCTCAACTCCTTCGGCATCTGGCGAACTTCCACAATGGCGCTCCCCCAGATCAAGTCCCTGCAGGAATGCGTCGACTACGCAAAGGTCGTCGAGCCCTTCGTCCCCCAGCTCTACCAGCTACCCTACCGGATCTGGCAGGGCCTGGACAGCCTCGACGCCCTGAGGCATGTCTACGTCACGACGAACCCGTTGGTCGAGGGCTTCGCCTTGTCCCTCATCGTCGGGCTTCTCACCTTGATTGTGTCCGAGATCAACCGCAACTATTCGCAGATTGACCGGCTGTGGAGCATCCTGCCGAACCTCTACGTTGTCCACACTGCGCTCTGGGCACGTGCGGCTGGGCTGCCGCATAGTCGAGTGGATCTGATTGCCTTCTGCACGACTTTATGGAGCGTACGTAACATATCGTGCACTTACAGACCAAATGTTGACCTGAGCCATGTCACAGATTCGACTGACGTATAATTACTGGAGACGTGGCGGCTACAAAGTAGGGTCAGAAGACTACAGATGGTATAGCGCATCCAGTTCTCTCCGAGACCACCTCACTTACAGCAGCTAATGCTCAGTAGGATGATTGTCAAGGGGCAGCTCAACTCAGTCGTCTGGTTCATCTTCAACGTCACCTTCATTTCCTTCTTCCAGAGCATCCTCCTTTGCCTCTTCTCCTGTGTCCCGGCGTACGTCATCTTGCTGTCATCTCAGTTCGAGACTGGAATCCAGCCGATTGATCTCGTCTTTGCCGGTGTCGAGATCCTTCTCGTCTTCAGCGAATGGATAAGTGACGGCCAGCAGTATGGTATGTTGTCCGTCTGCTTTTCAAGGAGTGTGTTGTCGAACCTCACTAACACAGTTTCCAGCCTTTCAAACCGCCAAGTACAAGTACAGAGAGACTGGCAAATTGACCCCCGGCTATACAGCCGCCGAGCTGGAAAGGGGCTTTGCCACGACGGGCCTTTGGGCGTACAGCCGACACCCCAACTTCTTTGCCGAGCAGACCTTCTGGTTCATGCTCTACCAATGGAGCTGCTTTGCCACCAACACCCCGTACAGCTGGGTTGGCATCGGCGCCGTCCTGCTGGTCTTGCTCTTCCAGGGTTCCACTAACCTCACAGAGAGCATCACGTCCAGCAAATACCCAGAGTACAAGGCCTATCAGGAGCATGTTGGCATGTTCATCCCCAAGACGCTGACCCCGTATACGACCCCTGGTCCAAAGGTCATCAGGTCAAGCGAGCTGGTGAAGCGTTCTGAGCAGAAGCAGAAGCACAAGAGGAAGCAAGGCTGAGGTGGATACCTCGAACAATACCTATATCCACGTCAACGAGCTGTAATTATAGGTTTTTGGTGCATAGTTCGTCACGGCTATACCCCAGTTCATGGGGAAGTGAAGGGTTTTGGAAAGCAATTTCGGGAAATTACGTCTTGTCTATTGTCTCCTGTTCGCATCTAAAAATAAATGAAAAAATACGATACGAAAATTACTCTAGAGTCTATTCACCACCTTCTAGGCGCCCTGGAGAAGATCACTCAGCTTATCCGCATAGTACGCCGGCACCGCGATGGCGTCCTCGCGGTCCCAGTCGGCCTTTTGGCTGACGCCCGTCAAGACGTGCAGCGTCCCGCCCAGGTTCCCCTCGATGCCGAACTTGATGTCCGTGTTGAGCCTGTCGCCGACCATGCACGTCCTGGCGCGGTCGAGCTGGAACTTGCCCTCGACGGCGTCCATCATGGCCTGGCTCGGCTTGCCGAGGATGGTGGGCTGCTCGCCGACGGCGTTTGCGAGGGGGATCATGATGGAGCCCGCGCCGAGGAAGAAGGTGTGGTGCATGGGCAGCGTGGAATCCGCGTTGGTCGCCAGGAAAATGGCCCCCCGCTGGACGTAGTGGAAGCCGAGCGCAAGCTTCAGGTAGTTGATGTGGAAGTCGAGCCCGCACAGCACGACGCCGACCTCGGGGTCCAGCAGCGAGCCGTTTGCGATGCCCTCGAAGTCGGCGGGCGTGATGTCCCTCCGGAAGCTGGGGTCCGTGCCGCCGATGAAGGGGATCCCCTCGGAGGCCAGCTCCGTCTCGATGCCGGCCTCGCCGATGGCGAAGACCTTGTTCTTGCCGGGCGGCAGCTTGAGGATGCGGTTGATGTAGATGGCGGCTGAGTAGGAGGAGCCGAAGACGTCTTCGGCGTCGCAGGGGATGCCGAGCTTTTCGAGCTTTTTGACGTAGTCTTGCCGTGACTTTGTGGAGTTGTTTGTCACGAAGACGACTCTTTTACCTGAGACATGGGGGAGAGTGGTGAGTTTCGCAATTGCTGTCTCTCTCTCGTCTTGAGAGGCTAACCTTTTGATTTGAGGAGGGCGATTGTGTCGGGGACGCCCTCATATACGTGGTCTCCGTTCCAGAGTACGCCTGAGAAGTGTGAGATTTGCAGCTCCGTTTCATAGGAATGGGTATCACAAACCATCACAGTCGAACAAGAAAGTCTATCCTCATATCAGTGAGCCGTCATGAGTGTGTGTGTGTGTCTGAGCTCAAGTGCTAAAATCACTCACATCGAACTTGTCAATGAAGTCCTTGATTCCGGCAGCATCGCCAGTGAGATACTTGGGTGCTTCAGCCATTTTCGACCCCATTGGTCTTGCAGAATGAAAAGATGTGGAGTTTGAGAGGAAGAGTTCGTCTTATGGACGGTATGCGGTCTTGAATTGACCGGTGGTTGGATTTTCGCCATCTAATACTGAATGAGTCAGGATATATCTATAACGCTTAGTCACGAGTTCTACACCCCAAGATCTTGCACCTGCTGTTCCAAGACATACAGCATATGGTGAGCAATCTGGAAACAATTGATGATTTCATCTTAAAAATCATGTTTCCAACTCGTCAGAGGCTCGATGGAGATTGAAGTGTGCTCTCTGAATGACAAGATTGCCCAGTTGGTGGCTGGGGTATAGGGTAAGTGAAGGCACTGCGACTTGTCGCTAGCCAGTCACGATAATACGTCATTACCAGAGGACATGCACTTTGTAAGCAGACGTTGCATTTGTAAGACTTTTCCATTCTTCTATTGTATTTCCTCTCCATAAGGTAGGCTCGCGTTTGGGTGCTTTCACTTGCCCTGAGGCGTTCACATCCTAATGTTGTTCTGTTATATTGCCGTATGCATGCAGGTTATGACTTGAAGCCCAAATATGCCGTACTATGCACTCAATATGCTCTCCAGCGTTTTAGGCAGTCAGCGAGCAGGTGTGTCTGGAGCTCTCACAAGGAGCTCATACCAATAGGCTTTATCGTGGGGGTTGCTTTCGTGTAACAGATATTGATTCTCTCGCAGATCTGCTGCTATTCTGAATAGAGTCAAGGATGTGTTGCTGCCTTATTGACAACTCTCGTACATGCTGCAATCCAAAGCCGGATAACATGGGTGTCTTGTCACGGGATGAAAGAGGCAGCTTCCGATCAAAGTTTGAACGGATGACGAGTACATTTCTGCGTTCCGGCCGTGTTTACTCTACTCATGAGCTTGACTGTTTTCATTGTTGTCGAGTAAACAAATAGGATTTGAGTTTGCTTGTAGTTGAGTTTGCCTATGGCTGCGTAGACAGTTCTAGCCTCATTGCCGCACCGAGCCTTGTGCAGAAAAATTGCCCGTGGCGTAACAAACTGGGTTACGCGCCCAACTTGAGGCGAATCGAAGCTTTTTCGCAAAGTCCCACCTCTCATGAGAGCCCTCCCGGCCCAGAAAATCACATTTATACTCGTAAATTCAGGCGAGGAACAAGCAAACCGGAGCAACAGGACCTCGTGTAAGCCGAGCACGAGCATGATAAGAGTGTTGTTGCAACTTTTGGCCATCGGTGAAATATGTCCGGGTTTTCGACTCCGGACCGCCGTCCTGCTCTTATCGGCAAATCCTCTACCTGTTACTATTGCTAGCTCGATCGGCCGTATTAGCGGTAGCTGGTCCCTACAATTTTGGTTTGACCCATCCGAAAGACCCTTGACGGGCGGCTCGTTATCAAAGAGGCATGGTGCCCATGTGGCGTCAACCAGAACAATGGACCCTTGAGGCGCCAACCCGGTCGAACCGAAGTCGAGAAGGAGGGAAAAAAACTATGACCCTTGCACAGTAGGAGATAAGGACGGCGTTTAAGTCGGTAGACGTCAGAGAAAGCAGAGAGCGACTCATAGGTGAGACGAAGGGCCGGAGGATGGGTGCCACGGGGACGGAGCCGCGGCAAGAGATTACGAGTTTGCCCCGAGAGCGAAAAAAAGAAAGCCAAAGAAACAGAGGAAGCCAAGAGAAGAATAAGAGAAGCAGTTTCATGATCAGGCATGACGGCTTAGCACATGCTTTGGTAGCCCAGGATTTCAAATCCGCATTTTCGCCTAGCTTTGAGGGCAAGGGTCCACGGTTTACGGCCCGGCAGGCCTTGTCAAGCCCGATGAGGAGGGGGGCGTCACTTGCATGGCTGTTTTGAATGACTACCTGTCTCGTACTAATATCTGTGTTTGACTCGCGGGGGATGCCTTTAGAGGCTCCGGTTACGTGTAAGGCAGAAAGGGGAAAGAAAAAATTAATTTTCTGCATTAAAAGAAGATTAAACGAAATAAGATAAAACTTCATCCCCAAAATAGAAAGACGAAACTTTCCCACGTAGCCCCAAACAAGACTGTATTTTCTTTCGTCGACCTCCTCTTCCTCTTGACTCCTCCCTACAAATACCCTCTTCCATCCTCTCCCACCTCCTCGAGTCCCTCTTCTTCACTCTACATACGACTTCTCTGCTTGATCAAGCTTGCTTTCGTTTCGTTGCTTCACCAGAGACCTATTGCAAGCATTGCTACACATTGACCTATCAAACAACGCAATATCAACACATACAAACGTACAAAACACACCGAATACCAAATAAACCAAACACACCGCCTTCTACCGGTGCTCAGACTGCAAAAGGCACCTTCCACACAGTCTCAATGGATCCCAAGACAACCAACCCTCACCTGACCGCCGAGTCACTCAGCCTCAGCGACAGCACTCAGTCCACTCCTTCTGTCTCAACCGTCTCAACACCCACGCTCGAAGCTCACGAGTTCGTCGGCGGCTTCCCCCACAAGCTTTCGGCCAACCTTCTACCACCTCTCTCGCGAGACTTCCCCAAGCCCACCGACGAGGTCGACGTCAAGGAGGCCCTCGAGCGCCAGCCCGGCAGATGGACCCTCCAGGGCCAGATCAAGGCCAACAACATGAGAGCCCAGAGCGCCGCACTCCGGCTCGACGACAAGGAGGGCAAGGCGAGAGCCTTTGAGGAGGCCAAGCGCGAGCTACTGGCGTTTCACGAGAAGCAATCCGGCGCAAGACGATGATCACTGATCACGATGACGAGTTTACGTATGCCTTGTCATATTGTTGTTGTTGTTGTTTCTTGGGTCCTATTTGTTTTACGGCGCAGCGATCGGGAGGATATACCCACGGAGAGTGTCCGAGCGGCTTTTGGGATTTAGAGCGTCATTAGCAGCGTAGAGATGGTTGTCCGGGGGATGGAATTGACTTTTCATCACAATGAACCTTTTCACTTTGGTCTTGTTTCCCATTGCATGCCTAGTGAGAGTCCTTTTACTTTGTGCACTAGACGCATACTGGACTTGGTTGCAAGAGGGGGCTTTCAGGTGCATACCGAAAGTAGCAATCAACGTACATCAAGGTTTCGGCAATGGCGTGATACTGTCTCGAGTCTACTGGATGCGAGCTGCCAGCGTGAAGCCGTACGCCACCAGGGCCACGAACTCGACAAGGTTGACGAGGGAAGAGATTCCGTGCAGCATGCCAAATTTCTTGTTGAGAGCGCGCATCTCATCCGACTGTGCATCCTTGTCATACCACTCCTTTCCGTCTCGCTTGGCTGGTGGAGGGGTTAAACAAGCCCATCGTCAGTATTCCAGAGTTTCAGATCAACAGCGTGCGTGCGGGAGTGGACTTGGCTAACCTTGTCCATGGCGGTCCTTCATGGTCTTGACAGTGGCGGGAAGCAGCACGGCGAGGTTGACGAGGCCGCTGACGAACATGGTTGCGATGGGCACCAAGGAGCTCCACTTGTTGGGAGCGTCGACGAGGCCGCTGATGCCGCCTTTGATGCCCAAGAGGGCGTTTCCGGGGAACGTGAGGGCGAGGAGCGCGGGGATGGCCGTCTGCATGCCAAAGTAGATGGGGAACAGCTTGCTCTGGATGGCGGAGAAGGAGGGCCGGCTGACGGTGCGGAACATGACGATGCCGTTGATGAAGGACTGCAGTAGCGTAGTGTCATGGTAAGCAGCTGGCCGGTTTCATGGCGTTGAGGATGGGAAACGTAAGAGAATGGAGTAAGATGGATCAAGAGACAGACGGATTCCCTGGTGGACGTACGTGGAAGAATGTCGTGCCCAGGAGAGTCCCGTATCTGTATCAGACGAGCGATGAGGCCCAACATTAGCTCACCGGCTCACTAGAGAGACAAGCTTAGATCGAATTAAGGTGCTCACGATATGATGTGGTACGGAGCCGCGGAAGCGAATATTGAGCCAGCCATGATTGTGGCTGTTCTTGGGCTGATGTAAGCGCGGGATCAATCACCGTTGAGACGCAGGAAGAAGAAGCAGAAGCTGTCGAGTTTGGTTGACGACGTCGGATCGGTCGAGGCCCGATCAAGCCGATCTCAGCTTGAGGTTGATGGAACAAGAGCTCATGGACGGTCACGTGATGTCGCGATACATGCGCGTTTGTCACTGGAGCTTGTCTCGCTCAAGCAACGAAACTGGCGTCTGTCTGCCTAAATCTGAGCGAGGGTGCAAGTGCTCGCTATAAAAGGCGGTGGATTACTGCCTTGATGAAATGACCAAGGGAGCCGACATTTTGTTCATTTTATAAACTTCTTTTCCTTACTTTCACCATTCGAGTTCTTCGCCATCATCGCCATCTGGCTCATCTCAATTGGAAGCCAAGATGGCGGACAAGGAAGCAACCGTCTTCATCATCGACCTCGGCGCGTCCATGGCCGCCGTCAATGGAGGCCGGGACGAATCCGACCTCGATTGGAGCATGAGCTACGTCTGGGACAAGATCAGCAACGTCGTGGCGTCAAATCGCAAGACGCTCTGCGTTGGCGTCGTGGCGTTCAGGACCGACGAGACGAACCACACGCTGAGCGAGGATGGTTACGAGAACATCTCTATACTGCAGCCCCTGGGGCCAATGAGCATGTCCGGCCTCAAGGCTCTCCAGCCCAAGGTGAAGCCGAGCAGCACGGTCGAGGGCGATGCCATCTCGGCCATTGTCATTGCCGTCGACATGATCGACAAGTATACGAAGAAGAACAAGTGGAAGCGGCAGATTGTCCTGATTACCGACGGCCAAGGCGAGATTGATCCCGATGACATTGGCGACATTGCTAGGAAGATGCGCGACTCGAGCATTGAATTGACAGTCTTGTAAGTTAGCGAGCCGTCTGATGAAGGGAAAATGGTGCTGACGGCGGCGCAAGGGGCGTCGACTTTGATGATCCCGAATACGGTTTCAAGGAAGAAGACAAGCCTCCAATCAAGGTACTTCATAGTACTTCATACCGTCACTTCCATTTTTTGAAGCTTCATTAACTCCCTTGTCCAGAAGCGCAATGAAGAGACTCTGAGAAAGCTGGTGGAGGGCTGTGGCGACGACTCAAGATTTGCCTCCATGGTCGAGGCCATTGACGACTTGAACGAGCCACGAGCAAAGGCAGTCAAGCCTTACAAGACATACGAGGGTCTCCTGACCTTGGGCGATCCGAAAAACGCTCCCGCGGTGGTGGAAATCCGCGTTGAGAGATACTTCAAGACCCATCTAGCCAGGCCGCCTGGTGCCAGCACCGTGGTCGTCAAAGAGGAGCAAGCTGGGCCGTCACAGGCACCCGAGGACGAGCAGATGGATGGGGCAGAACTTACAGCCGTGAGGCAGGCTAGGACATACAAGGTCAATGACCCAGATGCCCCTGGCGGTAAGCGTGACGTCGAGTTTGAGTCGCTGGCCAAGGGGTACGAATACGGCAGGACGGCAGTCCATATTAGCGAGTCCGATCAGAATGTCACCAAGCTCATGACAGAGAAGAGCTTCAAGATTATTGGTTTTGTCCAGAAGGAAAAGGTATTGGTCAAACTTTCACCACCTGACTATTTCTCTCTGCTAACCCTTGTTTAGTACGAGATGCTTCTGAACCTGGGCGAGACTTGCGTCACCGTTGCTTCCAAATACGACGAAAAGTCCGAACTGGCTTTCAGCTCTCTGGTATGGGCGCTCGCGGAGCTCGATGCCTACGCCGTGGCCCGCCTAGTAACCAAGGACGGAAAGGACCCTATGCTGGTGTTACTGATGCCTTATATGGAGCCTGATTATGTTTGTCTGTACGATGTGCCTCTACCCTTTGCAGAGGATATCAGGACATACCAGTTTCCTCCCTTGGACAGAGTCGTTACTGTCAGTGGTCAGACGCTCACCAGCCATCGCCTGTTGCCATCAGACGAACTGACCCAAGCGATGAGCGATTACGTGGATGCCATGGACATTTCAAGTTACGGGATGGACGAAGATGGGTGAGTAGAAAAGACGGCTGTTTCATGTTCTACTTCTAAACGTTCTTTCTGATCTAGGCAGCCGGCTGAATATGCCACCATCGATGAGTTATACAATCCCGCGATACATCGCATCGGGCATGCAATCAAACAACGAGCGATCCATCCAGAGAAACCCGTACCCGAGATCCCCCCCGTCTTGCTCAGATTCGCACAACCTCCAACAGAACTCGTCGAGACCGTGCAGTCAAAGATTGACTCACTAGTCCACGCTGCAGACGTGAAGAAAGGTGAGCACGCATATATGCTCAATGTATGAGGGAAGAACTATGTGCTAACGTCCCCCTCAGTGCCACCCAAGGCAAAAGGCAAACGTCAACGGGAGACCGTCAAACCCATCTCGGGACTGGATGTGGATGCACTCCTGGGAGAAGAGAAGAAAGGTTCCATCAGTCCTGAAAATGCCATTCCAGACTTCAAACGAGCCCTCAACGCATCTGAGGAAGTCGAGCAGATTGCCGACGCCACTAAACAAATGGGAGCCATTGTACGATCTCTCATTACAGACAGTTTCGGGGATAGCAAATATGCCCAGGCAATGGAAGGCATTGGTGCAATGCGCGAAGAGCTGATCAACCTGGAGGAGCCCGGTCTGTACAACGATTTTGTGCGCGACCTGAAGAAAAGTTTGCTGTCTGGGGCGCTTGGTGGCGACAGGCGAGATTTCTGGTTCAAGATGAGGTGGGCGAAGCTGGGCCTGGTTGACAGGAAGCAGTCGGAAGTGTCTACGGTTACTGTCGAGGAGGCGGACGAGGTGAGTCGTTCAGCATGCTGTCGGATTATACGAGCGTTGTTTGCTAACTTGTGGGATAGTTCTACAAGTCGAGGTAAAGGATTTACGTTGATCAAGATGGTGGCATGTACATGAGCGGTGTAGCACCGGAATCCGGCGATTTTAGCATTGTATGATATGGTTATTGATGAATTGAACGATGCGGGCAGGGGATTGATGCCATCACGGCCCCTTGATCGGACCCAGACTCTTGCACAACATGCTGCTTGTTTCTTTGATTTTGCGTGTAACATTACTCACAATGGGTTCATTTTCCATCAAAATCCGATGAACCCCCCTGAATATCCTGTATCCGAGTCCTGCATTTGTCAAGTGTCTTGACATCGAGGTTGTGTGATGCCAACCAAGCAGGCGGCCGTCTGCCAGTGCCTGCCTGTAGGCTGCACCAGAATCTGCCCAATCAGCTGCCCTTCGGTTTCGTTTGACCTTGCAGCTGCCCTTGATCTTTCATCCTGCACATCCTTTTTCTTCCTCCTCGCATTTTCAATCTTTTGCTCCTTTGTTCTTGGTCTCTCATCTCACCTCGTCATCTCCGACCGCATGCAATTTGGTTGCCTCACATTTCAACCCGACTACTATCAGCAAAAGCGATCACTCGTGACCGATCCTCGGCATGGCCACCTTTAACCTCACCGTTCGCCTGGAGATGCTCAAGGAGCTTGGCGTCACGGTCCAATACAGCGAGCACGCGCAGGAAGACAACAAGGCCAACGATGCAGCAGCGGTCGATTCCAAGGAAGAGTTCCCCGCCGTTGTGCCGCCCAAGCCAGAACAATATGCCTCTCTCCACTCCCCGGCCTCGGCGCAAGAGCAGCAGAAGCTCAAGGAGATGGACAGCTTGTCTACCGTGACGCCGCTGGATTGCTCAAAGTTCGTCGTCGGAGAGCCTGCGGATGAATCCATCAGCTTCTGCTCGTGGAAAGTCGTCGAGACTTATCCCGACCAGTTTATCGGCAAGGCAAACAGACCTCGTGTATGTATCGACCTCCTTTCTATGCGATATCGGGAGTACAAGAGAAGGGTGTAATAAATATCTGACAAGCCCGCAGGCCAAACCGTACTTTGACAAGATTTTGGAAGGCAGAGTCTGGGATTTGTAGGTACCCCTAACCCATGCTTTTATGGCGACATTCCTGCTAACGAATTCTGCAGTTTCTATCTCTACAACCCGGAGAAGCCTTCTGAGAAGCCCCGCGTGCTGGTGCCCACTGTCCAGCTTGAGGACTTTCTCAAGGGCATCAACAGAGCGCTCGGTACTTCGCTCGCCATTCCAGGAGGGGCAAACCAGGACCGTTTCTATATGAGGTTCGGCCAGGGCGACACCCCAAGACCTCGATATCTTCAAAGATCGAGAGACCAGAAAGCTTTGAAGGTTGAAAGCTTCCCAGACTTTGAACAGAAAGACTACGACAACTTCAGGAACGCGCACGGCGCCATCCAGCAAGACTGGCTGAAGAACTGGCAGATGCTGGTGCCTCGGCCGACGTTCGACAAGAAGAAGAACGCAGACAAGAGAGCAGCTCAGAGGAGACTCGAACGAGAGCGAATGCTTCACAACGCCCAGGAATACCTTCACTTGGCGGGCAAAGGCAACGGGGCTGACGTGGTGTTGGTTTGCATGGATGTCGAAGCCATCGAAATGCCACCGAATCCCATATCGGAAATCGGAGTAGCCGTCCTGGACGTCAAGGATCTCGACGGCGTGGAGCCGGGCCCTGGTGGCCAAAACTGGTGGCAGTTGATTCAGGCACATCATCTACGGACCAAGGAGTATGCGGGTCTGGTAAACCGCCGCTTCGTTCGCGGGTGCCCCGATTCCTTCGACTTTGGGTAAGTATCCCAAGCTGTATGCTTACCACTGCATAGCCTTGCTAACATACCCAAAGCACCAGCACGTTTCCGGGAGAGTATGAGCTTCCCGAGGCCATCATGGCCATCCTGGAGCCCTACGTAAGCAAGAATCGACCGGTAGTGTTTGTCGCGCACGACGCTGGCTCAGACATCAGGTATCTCGCGAGCATTGGATTTGATGTTCTGGGACTCTCAGGCCTCGTTGAGCAATTGGATACGAAGGAGATGCACCTGGCTTGGAAAGAGTCTGACCAGGGCAAGAGCCTGCTGAGCGTCCTCGGCGACCTTTGCATCCACAGCAAGCACCTCCACAACGCCGGCAACGACGCTGTCTACACTCTCCGTGCCCTCCTGGGAGTTGCCGTTGAGCAGATGCGGGAGACGGATGCCAAGGCGAAAGGAGAAGAGTACAGGCCAGCTCTGTTCGACGTGAAGCAGGAGACCGAGGTGGAAAATCCAGACGATTCATGGTGATATAGTCTTGAGTTGAGACTTTGGTATTTCTTTGCTGTCCTTGGTAACTCGTCGGCAGGCCGCCAAATCTTTCATGTAGCTCGCCTCTCGTCCTCTTTTCTTCCAAGATCTTTCCAAACACCTTGAGCCACTATATAGTCGCTTATGGGGTCATCAAATTCAGCCCACTCACCAGCCCAACGCCATCGCTATGGAAAAAAACGAATATCGTACAAGACAAATATACACGGCCACACATGGCTCTTTTGACCTTCTATTACCAGCACAGATCGCTCGTTCCGCTCGTTTGCAGTTTTTGTTTCAGTCGTTGAGGTTCTTGCGTCAGACGGTTTTATCGAGTAGTTCTTTGGCCTCGTTGACCTTTGTCGCCAGGTAAGGGCTGCCGCCTCGATCGGGGTGGTTCAGGAGCATGAGGGTTCGGTGGGCCTTGCGGACTTTGTCTTTTGTGATGGATCGCTCGCTATAACCATCCATCCAGTCAGCTTTCAATGTCGTTCTTGTCTCCTTTGAAACTTCAGAACGGGACTTGGAAGAGCGGGGGGGGGGGGTGCCGTACTTTAGCGAGAGAATGAGCGAGGCTTCCTTCTTGGTCATGCGCGGCTCGAAGCCGCCCTTGTAGAAGGCCTTGCCCATGGGGCCTACGCCGCCGCGGGAGCGACGGAGGGCGACGAGACCGGCTCGGCCCTGTTGAAAAGATGATCAGTTAGTTTTTCCTGCTTTCCAACTTTGACTGTTGTGTGTGGTGTGGCTCAGGACTATGTGAAGACTAGGCTTTTTATGTGTTTTGATGGGGAGGCGATTTGGAAAAAAAAGTCGTCGCTTATATACGATGTCGAAGAAGTTTTGGAGGTTTTGGATGTTGAGGGAGGGGGGGAAGCACGTACGAGAAAGGCTGCGACTGCGACGCCGGCGCCCCAAGCAAGTGCAGAGGCCATTTTTCGAGTCGTAAATCAAGAAAAAAAAAAGAGATATAGAATTCGATTTTCGTTGTTGTTTCTCGTTTGGTTTTGAAAGATGTATGTGATTTTTGGGGGATTTTGAGGTTTGGCGCAATCAGCAAACTTGGGGAGTGGCGTTGGATGAGAATTGAAGTTTTGCAAGGGTTCGGGAGACTTCTAGGCGCGGGGTATAGTTTTTCCGGGGATGCGGCCATGCTAACTCTGGAGATGGGGTGCGTTGATTGGTTGGCGCATCTGAACATTGGTTGACTGCGTTCTATGGTTCTTCTTGTGAGAAGGTAGAAATGTACGGTTCTGTTGAAGTCCTTGCTTGTATTTCAGATTTTTTTTCTTGGGAGTTGGAGTCCATGTCCAGCATGAGGCTATGTAGTCTCTAAAAATTGCTGTGGCAGCGGTAGTGGTCATGTTTCAACCGGATGGCCTCTCTCTTGCTCCCGGGGATCTTATTTTTCATACGGGTATATGTCCCACTCAGAAGTGAGGCTCTCAAGCCGATATCCAACCTTTTTGCCTCCTAGAACATGAGTGAAAGAGGAAGATTCTACCCCTTCACCCCTCCTCCTCCTCCTCTTCCTTGTGCAAATGGTGATGAACCTTGTCCGGCAACTTCAGCGCCCCTTCAACCGCCTCTTTGATCTTCCTGTCGAGCTCGGCCTTGCTCCTCCCATCCTCGTCCTCCCGCGCCCGCTCCTCGTCGGCAGCCAGATCCGCGTGAAAGTTGCCCGCGCCTCCCCTCCCCGACCAGCCCGCGCGGTGAGGCTGCGCATGCCCCCTCAGGCCTGACGATGCCACCGCCGTTCCCGTCTCGTCGGCCAGCTGCTGGTCCTCGTTGTGCTGCGCGGCGTGCCTCGGGTCGATGAAGTTGCCGGCTCCCCCGCGGCCGACCTTTGCGGGGCCGTGCGGGTGCTGCGACGGGGTTGCCGAGACGGAGGCGGCGGCTTTCAGCTGCTGCGCTTCGAGATCCTATAATCATGCCAAGGGGCCACTTGCGTATTAGAAACGGGTATAGACGAACTGGGGGCGAGAGGTTACGGCTGTGGTTGTATGTTTACTTTTGATGCCTCATCGGCTTCTTTCGAGGAGACGTAGTTGCCTGCCCCACCGCGGCCGACTTTGCGTAGGGCATCTTGATCCAGAGGCATTGCAAAGAAGAAAAAAAAGGAAGATTATGCCAAACCCGCAGAGGGGGGCGTGTGGTGTGCAGTAGTAGAGACAAGGAGAAGAGATAGAAAAAAAAAGGTACGTGATAGTACAAGGAATGGAGTCTCAATGGAAGAGTTACCCGCCTGTCAAACCGGAACGGAACTGGGTATCCTTTGGGAGAAGTTTCACCCCTGAGAAATTACGTACGAAGATTCAGAATCCCACCCTATTTTCTGGAAATTCGACCAGGATTCCGATTTCTTGGTTTGGAAAGAGGGAAAATATGTCCAGAAAAAAAAGGAGGCTGCCAGGGCGTGATGCTAAGAACGATGGCTTCGCTGACGTCACGGGAAACTGAGTGGGTCTAACCTCCGGACTATTCTATCGTGATGACGTACGAGGTTGCGAACAGAATGGATTCTCCCGAAACAGCTAAAGGAGAATTTTTCCTCTCTCTTTCCATAGACGCCATGTGCGAAGAATGGGCGGGAAATTTAGAGATAGTTTGGGCTTGGGTTTGGCCCTGGCCCTGGCATAAGGGTCAAACCTAAGTTTACCTTATGGAGAAAATCTGGCGGGATACATCTGGAAAGGTGATCGACAAGCCTTCGTATGACGACGCTCTTTGGCGGTTTGAGGAAAGTTGGATGTAGACTTGGCGGGTTTAGTCGCTACGTACTTGGACCTTGATAGCAGTGACATGCCCTGATACTATGTACATGTTCGAGCGGTGTTGAATTGTGGTGTAGACTTGACACCTATATGCCATTGGCGCTGGTTCAAATATGGAATTCATGAGAGGAGAGTTTCGTATACTACCTGGGTTAGATGTCTATATAGTAAGCACCTCGCCGTCATTCGCATAAGGAGACATAAGATGGATCTCCACAACTACAATTCATGGATTCATACAAGAAGTATCTACAAATGGATGTAATGCTCAAATGTGTAAGACTTCAAAAGCTTACAAATTCCTGTACTCCCATCGGAAGTGACGGACAGGGCGCCAGTTCACGTCAACTATGTATTCAGCGTTTCATCTCGAAGCCCCAAGGCTCTAACTCTCGGCTTCCATGGAATCATCCATGCACGTCAACACAGTCAGTTCAAGTCGGAACCATTGCGCGTATCTCTTCTGCGGCTTTGCTGTCGTTTCGAAAGTTCGATCCGCTGATTCCGAGAAGCCACGAATGAGAGATCCAGCAAGATCAATTCATCATCCACCAAGACCAAGAAACTGTGCCCCAGTAAAACCGGAGCCCGTTTTCCCAGCGGCCGTGCTGATGCGGGAAAACGTCAGCGCTTTTTCTTGGTGCTGTACCACAGTGCGAACGGGCAAGCGTTTGCACATGACGATACTTGTTGGAAAACGGATCTCGCAAAGCACACGCCTCTGTGCCAGTTCTCGACGGGGGCGCAGTTGTTGTGTCCGGTGCTTATTATTACAAGCAAGAGCGTCGAGGGAGTGTAGCCATCGAGTCGAACAGTCACCAACAAAAAGCCCATGCGGGCTCGCAAGGCTTGGGCAGCATTACATAAGAATCGGACGTTGTGGGTTCGATGTTGCGGCATGTATTAGTCTATCGACTTCGTATGTACAAGCAAAGCAGGACGAGGATGCAGTTGGGACAAGCTCGATGTGAGAACTCATTCTGGTTATTCTCTCGGGCATCGACGGCAAAAAAAAAAAAAGCAAAAAGGACTCTTCCTTTCTGCCCGAATACTCATATCATTTTGACTGATTCGTGTTAAACGAACGATTGATGCCCATGTCGGCGCCGAAATTATAGAGCCTGCATTTCTGTGCGACACGACGTTCGTGCGTTATTGGCGAGTGAGCGAGCGTGCTTTAATTAAGTGGTGCATCGCCCCTCGTCTCGATGCCTACGGGCAGCGGCAAAGTCGTTGCTGAAGAAAGCTGAACGAATGATAGGCACTTGTATGAAGCGAACGGGTGTGTGGGCGTCTCCAGTAATAAGGAATCAAAATGCCTCCCTCCATCTCGATAATGTGCTGTCATGTCAATTGATCCTTTGGGAGAATGGATTGAGACAAGTAGGGGAGGCTTAAGCTCGTCCCCAACCCAATCAAGGCAATTCAGGAAGTCGAGGGTAGGCGGTGATTGGTTGAGGGAGTGGTGGGCTGCGGACTCCGATTGGCTACCGATTGGCTGCCGAGGGGAACTGTGTATCAACCTTGAAGGCTCAAGTTGAGATGGACGGGGCACGCCATCACGGCGAGGTATTATCATCTTGATGCCGGGTGAGGTGTCGTCGATTGTGAAGTGAAGAGGAGATGATTGGCGTGGAATTGGACCGGAAGATTGCAGAATGCTGGCCGCCGCTGGATGTTCGAAATGCGACACTTACTGCGTACAGTGTGTACAAGAGGCTTCACGTTTGCCTGTGTGGGTTGTAGGTAATAGAATCAAATGCTTGCTTGACGAGTCTACTTGAAGAGCAAAAACAAGCATCATTCGATAGCAACACCCTTGTTTATACCGACAAACTCACATTGACATGGCTTCAAGAATCAACGGCCCTACATAAACATGAATCATGCACCAGGCGTGCCAGCCATGACTTCACCAATCTTGCCATCGCATCTCCCAGCCCTGGACACGCCCGGCTCGGCTCGTTCCCAAGCTGATCGTCCATGATACCACCTCGCCGCCATACCTTACCTCGTCAGTTAGTTAGCCTCGTCAATCCCATCGCCATTGATATTCAGGCACATTTGGCCCTAACTTGGAATCCAAAGGAACCATCTCCGACGATCAATCGCACCAATCGGGCGCTGTCAACTCACTACACTTGCCCGTCAAAAGCTTCGTCAGGGTGGTCGTTGCCGTGTGTGGACGGTGTCACTCATCCGACAGGACCAGGACAACGGCCGAGTTGGGCATCATTTCGCCACTGCGGCTGCACGTCGTATATAACGAAGAAAAATTTTTCGTTCATCCCCTTTCATTTTCAGCAATTGCTCTTCCCTTCGAGTGGATGTACTATCATGCATTGCTCGTCTGCAGCATCAGGGGTTTTTTCTCTTATGTGAGTTGCATTCTGAATACGGGCAGTGCGTTGGCAGATTCTGGATGGGTGTTTCGAGGCTGAACGCCGGGGGTGCAAGTCCACGTTAGGCAGCGAAAGTTGGATACCAATGGACAATGGCCCTAGAAGAGGCAATTGGCTTCCTCTTTGGCCGCAGATGCAGACGGCTGCAGGGGCATAAGGAAATCTCTTTGGCTTATGGTGCCTGTTCGTGAATAGACGTTGCCCTTATCTGCCCAGGTGATGCCATCAGTCTGTTGCCTTGTCTGGGGAGACTGTTTTATCTCTCGCCTTTATATCCGCAAATCGGCAATTGCGCTGTAACAAAGGCCTGAGCAAACCACATAAACGGTGACAAAGCCATAGACGACAAGGCGCAGTCCCAAGAATTGCCGGTCTCTTTGCCTAGCAGGCTTCCAACTCGGTCAACGTGCCTCAACCGCAACTCCATCGGTTGCCGCTAAGTGCTCTCGATGCGCCTGCGATGGTGCCATGGGTAAGATGCCCTTAGCTCGCTGCCGGAAGTCGTGACCTGCGCAAGCGCACGGCCGGGGGGGTGCGTCGACAGCGCCAATTAGCGGGTGGTGTTGGCGCCGGTTAGGGGAGGGCTAGAGTGTGGCTAGTGCGCTAAAGTGCCTGAAGAAAATACCGTAAGGGCTCAATATTCCGCACTGTATGACAGGGCGAAGTCGTCGCGGGTTCCTGGTGGCCTTTGACTTCCATGCCCTTTCCATCTTCTCTGGGCATTCTTTGTTCTCTTCCAGAGCGATTCTATTCCACGCCGGGAAACCTTTGCGCCAGGGGCTGTTTCCTTTGACTGTAATATCTTTGTTTTTGCGTCCATAGCATCTCCCCTCTAACTCCCGTTTTCAGTTGGTCTTTTTTGGTCTTCTTGACCCATCAGTCTTGTTGCTGTTAGTTCCCAGCCGACTCCGTACGAGGTGCTACTCATCACAGCTCCAGTCTCCATGATATCCACAGCGTCTCCATCATCTCCATCAGACCGGCTGCCTTTATACCTGAAGGCGACAAAACCCAATCAAAGCTGTGACTCTTACATGTTTGTACATGTTTGCTTCTGTTCCACAGACGAGCGGTGACTGCAATCATGGACCTTGCCCTCCTCTGCCATATCTAGGTACTCCGCAACTTGGCTCCTTATGCTTAACGATTCCCCAGACTTGCCGTACTTAGCCGATTGTTGTGTGTGTGCAGTTGCGGTTGCGGTTGCGGCTGTCTTTGGCTTATTGCCTAGAAAGGGCAAACGTGATGATCCAGACATGCATTGATGTTCCTGCTCGGCCGTTGGCCAATTCGTTGCTTGCCGGCAAAGCAGAGGCCATGCCGTGCCTCGCACGAAGTTGCATGACTGGCCCAATTGACCAATTGACCAACTTGACACGTACGTTACCCTCAACCGTGGGTAGTACAGACATTGCCTCGAATCATATCATCACTGCCGATTTCCCCTGGCACCGACAGCACGCAGCTCGACGCACCCGTCGGTTGCCAACGGACAGAGACTCTATTCCGCCCTTCCCCCGCTCCGGAGCAGCCCCTCATCCAAGCCGTATTCGGCGCGCACAGAGACAAGACAAAGGAAGTCAGAAAGCCTTGGGGCGTACAAAGCTCATGTAATACTCAGGCTCATCATACCTGATGTAGCCTGGGTTTGTTTCCCCCCCCTTCTCTGTTCGGCCATGCAAGAACACGGTGAGATGAGATGGCTTTATTTAGCAGATCGACGATGGCTCGTTAGGACATGTTGCCAATACACGGAAAGTGAAGCCTGGCGGAGTATCTTGCGGGGGTGGAAACGGGGCTTCGGGGTGGACAAGTCTGATCCAGTTTTGCTGTATCCACTCCGGCCTGGCAATAATCGAGTCCGATGCAGCATTCTATCGACGATGAGCGATTCAGTTTTTTCTGCGGGCAGCTTTGCTTCGGCC